AATTAAATAATTTAAATAATTTAAATAATTTAAATAATTTAAATAATTTAAATAATTTGAATAATTTAAATGCCCCAGGGGGGGGGTCCGGGCCCCCTGCCTCCCGGGAATTAAATAATTTAAATAATTTAAATACCTGGGGCATTTAAATTATTAAAATTATTTAAATTATTTAATTCTTGACCCCCCAGCCCCCCAGAAACCCAAATAGGGTTTATTTGGAAGTTGGCTCTTGTAAATAAGTATACGTTTTGGGGTCTGTTTTCCTCTTGTAAACACGACTCTCAGCTTCCAAATAAACCCTATTTAAGCCGCACACCCCCGCCCCCCCCCCCCTCCTACCTACCCTACCCCCCCCCCCCCAAGACCCTGTTCTAATTCTTAAGGCCCCTATATTACCCCGTTTTGAATCCCCCCCCTCCCCTAGGACCCTAGACCCTATTCTAATTGTTTTGGTGACTTAGACTACCCCCTAAACCCTGCGCCCTAAACCCTGACCCTAAACCTCAAACCCTAAACCCTTAAGGACCCTAGGATCAACCCCAGAGCTGGCTCCGGGCTCAGGCTGGCACAGATGTGGTTTGGAGTCTTCGCGGCCTTGGCAAACAGCTTGTTTTCTACACCCTAAACCCCTAAACCCCTAAACCCCTAAACCCCTAAACCCCTAAACCCCTAAACCCCTAAACCCTAAACCCCAAACCCCAAACCTTGGGTAGGGTACATCCCCAAACATCCCTGAACTCAGAATCTCGATGTTGTCAACAGACCACTCAGGATCTACGACTCTACGAAGTTCCCCTTCTATCAAGCGGAGCTCTACCAGCAGTTTCATGACCAGGACCCTTCAAAGAAGCTCCCGCCTCGGATTCGTCAAGGGACAAATGAAGACCCTAAACCTTAAACCCTAAGTGTGGAGAGGCTTTTGGGAATTTAGGTTTTCCAGGGACTTTAGGGTTGACGGATTTAGAACTTAGGGCTTAGCACAGTTAAGTCTTCATATCGATGCAACCCTGCACCCTTCACCCCCCCCTACACCCTACAACATCCTAAAACCCTTAACCCCCAACCCCTAAACCCGAAACCCGAAACCCTTAACAACACACATGTGCCGAAACATCGCTTACTAATCTCCAAGCCCGAGCAACCCCATGCACCCCAGTCTACAACGTGTGTTTTTTGCCCCACCGTCTTTACCGAAACCCTTACTCCCTAAACCCCAAACCCTAAACCCCAAACCCTAAACCCCAAACCCTAAACCCCAAACCCTAAATCCCAAACCCTAAACCCCAAGCCCCAAACCTCTTACCCCTTAGCCCCAGGTCCCCACAGCGCTACAAGGGCCTGAAGGAGGTCCTCCTGCGAAAAGGGCGGCTTCAGCCCGTGAGCTGCCCCGAAAGCGAGATCGCCGACTCAGGCCACGTTGGTGTGGGGGAGGTTAGGGTTTAGGGTTTAGGGTTTAGGGTTTAGGGTTTAGGGTTTAGGGTTTAGGGTTTAGGGTTTAGGGTTTAGGGTTTAGGGTTTAGGGTTTAGGGTTTAGGGCCGCCAGGGTGGGTTTGGGGTTTCGGGTTTGGGTTTATGGCCGGGTGGGTTTCGGGCTTGGGGTTTACGGTTTGCAGGGTTTTGGGTCTAGGGGGTTCAATCGGGTTCCATCGGGTTCCATCGGGTTCCATCGGGTTCCATCGGGTTCAGGGTGCAAATTGGGTTTTGGGTTTGCAGGTTTTAGGGTTTAGGGTTTAGGGTTTAGGGTTTAGGGCCGCAGGTTTTAGGGTTTACAGGGTTTACAGAGTCTACTGGGTTTACGGGTGTAGCGCTGCTTGGGGGTACGGGGACTCGAAGCTCTTGGTTGCTTCCAGAAGATTATGTTTATTGCATGTGATGTATTATGTAGTTAAATGACAATGTAGATATTGAAATAGGATAACGTGTATTGATGACAATCTTGTATATATACATATAGTAGATAATTCTCCATTACAAAACCTTTTGTCTTCAGATACTTTTCAAGTTTGGCACCGAAAAGAACTGTTGAAGTTAAGGCCTCCAGCTCAGCACCTTCCCCTCCCCCATCCCATTCACCACGAAACTAAGGGTTTAGGGTTTGGAGTTTAGGGTTTAGAGGGTTCAGGGTTTAGGATTTACGGTTTAGAGGTTTGGGGTTGAGGGTGGCCACCCTGAATCACGCTAAGCCCAATGCAAGCGCGGATTGGAGTAGGCCCCAAGCCTCAAACCCTAAACCCACAAACCCCTAAACCCGAAGGTCCCGAAACACCCCAAACCCCAATACCCTAAACCCTAAACCCTAAACCCTAAAGCCCCCAACCCCGCGTGTCAAAGCTTGCTGGAGGTGCTGTTGATGAGGTGGAGCTCCTACAGCCCGGAGTTGTCCTCGAATTAGCTTGGAGCCATCCGTGTTTAGGGTTTAGGGTTTAGGGCTTAGGGTTTGGGGTTGAAGGCGTGGAGTTTAGGGTTTGGGGTTCGGGGTTTAGGGTTTGGGGTTCGGGGTTTGCCCTATCTGAGACTCATCTTTAATATGTTGTCGTTATCTTTTTGCGCGTTGCTTTCATCATACGGGAACTTCCCCAAGTATGGCACCCCAATATTCCCCCAACGATATTTTGCAAGCCATATCTTTAGAACCCCCAAACCCTAAACCCCAAGCCCTCAATCCCAAATCCTAAACCCTAAACCCCAAACCCTAAACCCTACACCCCCCCCCCCCCCCCCATGTCCTTGGCAGGTGGAAGATTCCCTCAACTTCGGCGGGTCTGGGTCGGATCCCTTTGAACCCATCCTAGGCCGCCAGGGAGGGTTTAGGGTTTAGGGTTTAGGGTTTGGGGTTTAGGGTTTAGGGTGTAGGGTGTAGGGTGTAGGGTTTTGGATGGGATGTCGCTGTGAGTGCGTTTGTGAAGCCGAGCCGCCACGCAACAGGGCGCAGGGCTTGGACACTAAGTGCCCAGAGTTTCGTCACCGGACCCTAAACCCTAAACCCTAAACCCTAAACCCTAAACCCTAAACCCTAAACCCTAAACCCTAAACCCTAAACCCTAAACCCTAAACCCTAAACCCTAAACCCTAAACCCTAACCCTGGTCTCCAGGCTTTGCAAAGCCAGATGCTCCCACTCCGCCGAGCATGAAGCGGGTTCAGAAGGACGAAGGACGTTGACGAATCTCTTACGCGCGCCTGTGGGTTCAAAAGGGGACCATGGCAGTTACGGCTTCTGCATGCCACTTGTAACATTGTGGAGCACTTCAGTCGTGTTTCAACTCTGCCTCCTCTCATCTCTGGCTCGGTTTTGGTGTACTATACTTCAATATTATTTCTTGTTCTGGGTTCCCACTATAGCTACTCATACCCAAAAAGTACTTTTATTCCAGGGTCTACTCCAAAGTAGGGCTTGGGCACTCCCTTGTCTGAGAAGCCCTGCCCGAAGATTTTGTCAAAGGCGCAGCCGAAGTCGCGGGCGTCGGCGTTCTACGCTCGCATCTGAGGATGACTGGGGAAGGGGCGGTGGGGAGGGGGGGGGGGGTTTCAAAGAAAGGAAAACAAAAGCCTCTCAACCCAAGCTCCTCTCCCCTCACCCTAACCGTAGCCTTAAACCCTAAACCCTAAACCCTCAACCCTCAACCCTCAACCCTCAACCCTAAACCCTAAACCCTAAACCCTAAACCCTAAACCCCCTTATACTCTAAGCCCTCTAAGCTCTAGCTATGGTTCCGTTCTTTCCTTCCTTCCTTCCTAGGCGTGAGGGTGGTCCTTCCCACCCATGCTGGCCAAACGCCTCTGATTTCAGACGCGGCTTAGGGTTTAGGGTTTAGGGTTTAGGGTTTAGGGTTTAGGGTTTAGGGTTTAGGGTTTAGGGTTTAGGGTTTAGGGTTCAGTTTTCAGGGTTTAGGATTTCGGGTTTAGGGTTTAACCTTTCAAAGTTTCTAAGCCCCGTATAGAAACCCCAAGCAAGATGAACCCTGTAAACCCTCTAAGCCCTACAAGAACCTGCAAAACCCGATAATCCAACCCCATTTTGAAGAAGCCTGAACCCCAACTCCCAACCCAAAAGAAACCTGAAGCCCAACAAACCCTCCCAGCCCTAAGCGAAACCGAAACCCTGAACCCCCCCAACCCCCCAAAAACAACTAAAAAGTCTATAAACCCTCAACCCCTGATTTCGAATCCTAAACCCCGAACCCAAAACCCCAAACCCCAAAACCCCAAACCCCAAACCCCAAACCCCAAACCCACTAAACCCCAAACCCACTAAACCCACTAAACCCCAAACCCCAAACCCCAAACCCCAAACCCTAAACCCTAAACCCTAAACCCTAAACCCTAAACCCTAAACCCTAAACCCTAAACCCTAAACCCTAAACCCTAAACCCTAAACCCTAAACCCTAAACCCTAAACCCTAAACCCCACCCAGGTCCTCGGATCGCAAGCGAAAGTCCTCGGCTCGGGCCCTGGATTTTGGAACAGATAGCAATGTATGGCTTAGGCAGGGTTTAGGGTTTAGGGTCTAGGGTTTAGGGTCTAGGGTCTAGGGTCGAGGGTTTAGTGTTTATAAGGTTTAAACGGTTTAGGGTCTATAAGGTTAGGGTTTCGGGTTTAGGTTCTAGGGTTTAAGGTTTAGGGTGTAGGGTGTGAGGGTTTAGGGTTTAGGGCTTGGTTTTTGTTCAAGGTTTGAGCATTTAGGGTACGTGGTTGCGCATTTGCTGTTGGGCCGTGCCTTGGGGTGTTTTGGTACTTCAGGCTCCTACAGACGTGGAGCAAGCAACGGTATTGGGCTCTCCTGAACCCTAAACCCTAAACCCTAAACCCTAAACCCTAAACCCTAAACCCTAAACCCTAAACCCTAAACCCTAAACCCTAAACCCTAAACCCTAAACCCTAAACCCTAAACCTCTGAGCTCCGGCCGGCCATCACAGCGGCCACAGGTCTCTGAGAAGCCGGAGAAGAGAAAGAGGCAGGCTGTAGCCCTTGACATCTTTCATCCTTCCCCTACTACTACTACTACTACTACTACTACTACTACTACTACTACTACTACTACTACTACTACTACTACTACTACTACTACTACTACTACTACTACTGGCTTAAAGAACCGAACAAAACAAAATTCTCTTACAAGGGTCATATGGGGATTATTGATTCTCGTTCTTTGTGGGTTCTTAGTTCCTCAAAGCACCTGGGCTGCGCAGGGATGCTTCAAAAGAGAAGGGCAAGGAGAAGAAAGAGGATCGGGGCATGCTGGGGTGAAGACACGTCCATGTGGAGTGCTGCGGTGTGTCGGGGTTTAGGGTTTAGGGCTGAGGGAGCTCATTTGACTTAAAGACATCTAAAGGTCCTTGACCAGAGCATGTGGCGCCACCTCAGCAAGAGGATAGGTCGGCACTCTTCGCGCACTTTCTGCGGAAGGCAGGAACGCAACCCCTCCCCCCCCCCCCGCACACCACCAAAGAAAAGCATGTACATACTATATACATATATATATATATACATATTATATATATACATATATATTTAATATATACATATACACATATATATATATACATATATGTATATATGTATATACCTAAGGGAAAACCTTTGGTGGCTTTTGTTAACAAATGGAGCATCCCATCACCCCTCGAAGACAAGAACGTTGCGAACACCAGTCCACCTCCTCCTCCTCACCACCCTAGACTGAACGGACGGCTTCGCGCGAACGCGCTGTTTTGATTGCGTCCGTCGTAGGGAGGCATTGTGTTGCAATGTAGTTTCCTGTCCCTAGGACCCAGAGTAGGCCCTTATTCCCTGTTTGAGGGTCCGGTTCCCTAATGGTTAAAACCCCGTAGTAAAGGAGGCCTCTGAGCCTGAAAGACCCAGCACCTAGGGTTTAGGGTTTAGGGTTTACGGTTTCGGGTTTAGGGTTCAGGGTTTAGGGTTTAGGGATCGGAATTGCATATGGCGACAGTGCTGCGTGAGTGCTGTTTCATGCATCATTTTTCACTTGTTGTACGTGGGACATTGGTCCTTGCGAGAGGTATTATGTTTTCATTCTCCTCCCTCCCTCAACGCGTTGCTGTAGCTCAGAGAGTTGTTTCGCTTGATAGACTTATTTCTCCTGTATCGAAGCTCCTTTCGTGATGAAGGAAGAATTTACATCAAAACGCCAAGCTGCTCTGTCCTCAGGAGAAGGCAAAGAGCAAAGCCAAGGAGAAGGACAAGAAGCCTAAAGAGGAACCTAAAGAGAAAGCCGTCAAGGCGCCCTTTGTGTCCTTTAGTAGGGTTTAGGGTTTAGGGTTTAGGGTACCTGTTGCCCACATGGCACTCGCGGAGGCAGCGAAGAAGTCGAAGGCAGAGATCAATGCTGCGAAAGCAGAGGCTTCAGCCGAAACGATACCCCGTTTAGACCTTGGCAGCCAAGTGGTACCCTTTACCTTTTCTTTGGTTCTGGGCTTCCGTATAGTAAACCAACCCTAAACCGTAAACCCTAAACCCTAAACCCTAAACCCTCATTATGGGATCGCTTACCAGGCTATCAGGAGACCCGAAGCTCCAGACTACGCAGCCTTGTTATCTCGACGGATTCGGGTTTAGGGTTTGGGGTTTGGGGTTTAGGGTTTAGGGTTTAGGGTTTAGGGTTTAGGGTTTAGGGTGCCCTACCAGGCAGCACCTTCGCCAGCTTCGATGTCTTCCTCTGACCTGAAAGGCGGGCTGCCGATGCTCACGGAAGCCTTGGAAGCCCGATATATCCCACCCCCCTCAGACCGCGAGGGCTTCGGGTGTAGGGTCATACCTAAGACCCCTCTAAGACCCGAAACCCAACAATGTTTAGGGTTTGGGGTCTAGGGTGCCCTGAACCCTACAACTCTACAACCCTACAACCCTACAACCGCCTACAACCCTACAACCCCAAACCCTACACCCTACACACTAAGACCCTAAGACCCTAAACCCCAAGTCCCAAAACCCCAATACCCTGAACCCGGAAACCTAAACCCCAAACCCCAAACCCCAAACCCTAAAACCTAAACCCTAAACCCTAAACCCTAAACCCCAAACCCCAAACCCTAAACCCTAAACCCCACACCGCAGTGGCGAGCGCAGGCCTCGCCAAGAAGGAAGAGGCCGCAGCGGATGCTGCAGCCCGGGGCCCCAACACCAAAGTTTAGGGTTTAGGGTTTAGGGTTTAGGGTTTAGGGTTTAGGGTTTAGGGTTTAGGGTTTATAGTTTAGGGTTTATAGTTTAGGATTTCGGGCTTGGGGGCTTTCAGGGATTTAGGACTTTAGGGTGGGGGGTTTCGGGGTTAGTTGGGGTTTAGGACTTAGTGTTAGGGGTTAGGCTTCGGGGCGCTAGATCTGGTCTAGAGTGCTCATTATCACAGTTCCCTAAGCCAACTTATTGTAAGCTGCGTTTTGTCCGCCTCTAAACCCCACACTCTAAACCCCAAACCTTGAACCCCAGACCCTAAACCCTAGCCCGAAACCCTAAACCCTGCTTCCAGGAAATTGCGGCAAACCTGAAGAAGGTTCAGGCGCGATACCGAGGGGTTCTGCCTGGAAGCATTCGGCTTGTCTTGTGGCTCAAAGGTTCTGCATCTCTGCTTGTAAAGCTAAACCCTAAAAAACCCCAAGCCCTAAACCCGAAACCCTAAACCCTAAACCCTAAACCCCAAACCCCAAACCCCAAACCCCAAACCCCAAGCCCCAAACCCCAAACCCCAAACCCTATGTATGGGTCGCAGGGTGCAGGGTTCCAGCATGCCAGGAGAAGGAGCTGGCCGAAAAGCAGCGGCTGGCTGAAGAGGCTAAGCAGCGGGAAGCCGAAGAGGCACGACCGTCAGGGTTTAGGGTTTAGGGGTGTAGGGGTTTAGGGGTTTAGGGGTTTAGGGGTTTCGGGGTTTAGGGTTTAGGGTTTAGGGTTATAGGGTCGCCACATGCTGCGGCTTAGGGTTTAGGGTTTTTCGTTTGTAGTGCTTAGGGTTTAGGGTGGGCTCAGGGCCTAAGTAGGCGACTACCGACAGTGGGTACCATTTCTGCTTCTCACGGAGGCTGAGCGAAAGCTTCGGGAGCAGAAGCTGAAAGCCGAGATGGAGAGGAAAAAGAAGGAGAGAGAGGCCGCGGCCCGTTTATCGGCAGCCCGATCCAGCCCTTGCCTTTTACGCATGCCTGTTGCGTGATCAGACTGAGCGTGTTTTTGTGGTGTGGACTTCAGCCTGAACCATATCACTAGAATTAAGGTTTCACTATAATTAAGGTCTGCATGGGGTTTAGGAGTTGAGTTGTCCTTGCACATCGTGTGCGCAGGAGCGACAGAAAGAGCAAGCAAGGAAAGCGGAAGCAGTGCGGATCCCAAGACATCATGTTAAGACACGCTGGGAGACCGCTTTCTCCCTCTGCTTCTCCATGAAAAGCTGCGCGCAGGCAAAGCGTGCAGCCTCTGAGAAGAAGCGCAAGGAGCGGGTGTCTCAGCAGCCCTCTCCGCATGAGCGCGTACCCGCATACTATAGATTATCCCCTTGAGTCCTGACATCTATATGCTGCAATATGTAATTGTATATACATATATATATATATATGTATATATATATATACATACATTATATATATATATATATATATATAACTACCGTACTCTAAGTGAAGGGCGGCACGAAGAAAGAGCTCTCAGAAGTTCCCAAGGTCTAAGCCACCTCCAGCGAAGACGGCGAGCAAGAAGGCTACTCCCTAAACCATAACCCTAAACCCTGAACCCTAAACCCTAAGCCCTAAACCCTAAACCCTAAACCCTAAACCTAGTAGTGGGGGTTCACGAAGATAGGGGACTCCTACACTTCGTAGCCCAGTGGTACCCTTTTCCCTTTTTTTGGTTCTGGGCTCCCTTACAAAGCAACCAACCCAAAAAAGGCTGCCCCTATGAAAATAGGGTTACTGGGCTACCAGGTAAAATAGACCCCAAAGTAGTATCATCCCTTATAACAAGGGCCCCAACTAAGGTACCCCGAATTTCGGAAACCCCCTTTCATGTGGACCTTGTTTAGGGATTGGGGCCGCGCGGTCTTCTTGCACTTCTGTCCCAAGCTACGCTAAACCATGAAGCCTAACCCGCAACCCGCAACCCTCAACCTGCAACCCTCAACCCTCAACCCTAAACCCTAAACCCGGAGGCAGTGCTCAAGGCAGCCACCGAGGTGGAGAAACTCGGCCGCCTTAGACACACCTGCTGGAAACCCAAGCTTTCCTTGCAGCCAAACCTTCTAAGCCCTTGAGCCTGTACCCTACTCAAGGCTTCAGGGTTTAGGGTTTAGGGTTTAGGAGGGTTTAGGGTTTAGCCCACATCCCAAATGCTAAGCCCGAAGGGCGCCACTTGCAGGAGCAAAAGCCCAGCCTGAGCCCCAGCCTTCCCAACTAAACCCTAGAGCCCCTAAACCCCTAGAACCCCAAACCCCGACCCAGACCCTAAACCCCTAGATCCCTAAAACCCGAAGGCTAAACACTAAGACCCTTCAAAGAAGACCCTAAACCCCTAAAAAAGCCCTAGACCCCCAAAACCCCTAAACCCCTAGACCCCTAAACCCTAAAACCCTTAGACCCCTAGACCGTAAAACACCCCGCAGCCTAGATGCCTCAACCCCAAAACCTCAAAGGGAAGCAAAGTGCAGCAGCGAGGAGGATCTCCAGTCGAGCCGCGTTTCGGGGGGCTCTTAGGGCCGATTTTGGTGCTTTTAAATTTAATTTTAGGGTTTAGAGTTTAGGATTTAGGATTTAGGGTTTAGGGTTTGGGGTTTAGGGTCTGGGGTTTAGGGTTTAGGGTTTGGGGTTGAGCACTTAGGGCTTAGAGATGTAGATGTTCAAGGTTAGGGCTTAGGGATGTAGATGTTTGGGGTTTTTGCCTGGGACTCTCTTGAGCTAGGTAGGCCCTGGGGTCCTTGTTGTATGTTCCCTTACTGGTTGACGAGGATCCGAATTTAGGAATATTGTTCTGGAGCGGTTTAGGAGTCAACCAAGCTACCCAGCACCCACAAAGTTGTAGGAAAATGGCGTGCCAGACCTGTCACATTCTGAGGGTTTCTAGATTCTAGGCTGCTCGAGGATAGGGTTTAGGGTTTAGGCTTTAGGGCTCAGGGGTCGAAAGTTTCGCCTCTACCGCTGGCAGTGTTCGGGCGGGTCGTGACCTCACGTTCCACATGCTGGGCCTGCTCACAGGAGAGCAGCGACGAGGATGAAGAGGAGGAGGAAGAGGAGGAGGAAGAAGAGGACCTGCGGATCTGCCTTGTCAGCAAACCAGATTTCCTGCAGCACCATATGAGCATTCAAAAAGCTGAGCAAGGAAGAGGAGGAGGATGAAGAGGACTCCGCATTTTGCGATCCCACGATCGCTGGCCGAAAGCCTAAACTACTACTTGCTTAAGAACCCCAAAGAATTTCAAAAAATATTATCCTTAATAAAGAAAATATTTTTATTTCGGGGTTCTTTTTCAATTAGTAGCATAACAATCCCTATATGAACCTTAATAAGGAAGAGTTTTTTTTCGGGGTTCTTAAGCAATTAGTAGTAAACCCTCAACACTACCCTTCTCCGGGGCTGCCTTGGAGAGGAGACCTCCGAGTCTCGGCCGCGGAAGAAGGCCTGGGGTTTAGGAAGTTTAGGGTTTAGGGTTTATGGTTTATGGTTTAGTTTCGGCAGTAGAGGGGTTTGGGGGGTTTAGTCAAGGGAGTCGCACTCGGACCCTTCGTACGGATGTACCCCGAAGAGGTTCCCTAAGCATGCTCCTAGCATGGCCCCTAGATTCCCTTAGAAACCCTTAGAGTCCCATGATTTATATAGGGGGGTTCAGGGTTTCGGGGTTTTAGGGGTTTGTATCATACACCCATCCTTGCAGCAAACACGAATGAATCAGCCCCAGTTGAGGTCCCGTGAAATTTTCGGTTGAGGGTTTAGGGTTTCGGGTTTAGGGTATGATAGTGACCCTTCAGTCTAAACCCTTGCTGAGTCGCAGGCGAAGAATGGAAAGGACAACGCGAAGGTCCGCGGAGTTTTCTGCTGCATGACCTAGGTCGCGTGTAGTTTTTAGTTTAGGGTTTAGGGTTTAGGATTTCGGGTTTAGGGTTTTGGGTATCGGGTTTCGGGTTTAGGGTTTAGGGTTTAGGGCTTAGGGTTTCGGGTTTCGGGTTTCGGGTTTCGGGTTCAGGGGCAGGGGTGGGGTTGGCCATCCCCAGTCGTCCAACGGCCGGTATTTAGGACTCCAAGAAGAAGCAGAGCGAGAAGAAGGACAAGAAGGTCAGCCCGCGTCTCAAGTGAGAGTCAGTTTTGGGGAAGATCTATCACGACAAGAATCAGCCAGAAAAAGAAGAAGCAAGAATGGTAAGAATAGTAGGAAGGAGAAAAATTAGATGCATCTTTTAGAGCTTTAGAGCTAATTTGTATAATCAGCAGTAGCAAGAGTAACAGTAACTGTAAAAATAACTAGACGAATGTCTAGATTAAGAGCAACTACTACGAATGACAAGGTTAATGAGGGGGAGGGTGTAAGGGCCTTTTCAAGGCTTGCTGAGGGCCGTGTGGCGGCTTAAACACCCCCCCCCCCCCCCCCCCCCAATCATATTCCCCCCCCCCCCCCCCCCCAAGCCCTAAGCCCTAAACCCTAAACCCCAAACCCTAAACCAAGCCCTAAACTCTAAACCCTAAGCCTAAATGAAGCTGGGCACAATCACCCCGGAGGACAAGTCGAGCCAAGAGCGGAAGAAGCGGACGGAGGTCTCCCCTATGCAGGGTTTAGGACCTGAGTTCTCTGTGGTAGTTTCTGCTGTTTGGCGACAAAGTGATTGAGACCCTAAGTTAGGGAAACTCTCGCCAGGTTTGACTCTTAAACCCCAAGCCCGTGCAAAGGGGTCTGCGCCAGGAGCTCATAAAGCAGAAGCTGAAGGAAGCCATGAGGCTGGATGGGGGTTTAGGGTTTAGGGTTTAGGGTTTAGGGTTTAGGGTTCAGGGTTCAGGGTTTAGGGTTTAGGGTTTAGGGTGCTTTCCTGTGCTTAAGGTTGAGGGCTTGGGCCCTCTGGCTGCGCAGATGGCCGGCCCTCATTCCTTGTGTTTAGGGTTTAGGGTTTAGGGTTTAGGGTCTAGGGTTTAGGGTTTAGGGTTTAGGGTTGAGGGTTTAGGGTTTAGGGTTTAGGGTGTGGCAACGTTCTTAGCGCGCGTCGTGGGCCCTATAGATCGGCTTTCACGGGCCCACTCCAACGCGCGCGTCGCGTGGCGGTACACCCACCCCAAACCACCCGGCGTATAGCATTGTAGGGTTTCGGCCCCAGTGCTCTCATCCGCTGTGGGCCTGTTCCACGGCAGCCGTGCGGCTGTCTTAAAGCGTCCCGGTGGATGTTGGCACCGGGCTGGCCGCCCCGGCTTGACCTCGAGGTCAGCAAAGGCCGGGTGAGAGCCGGCTCCCGCTCAGGGCTGGAACCCCGAGACCCTCATACAGATAGGAGAGGAGCCACAAAAACCATGTCCCGCATGACATGCCAGGGTTGTGGCACAGGACGAGCGAAAGGCGTGAGAGGCAACAGGCCATGGTGCAGCAAGCCAACACCTTGCTCATGCGCTGAAGCTAGCTCAGCCAGACAATCCTTCTGGGGCCTGCAGGGCCTGGGGAGGGAAGGGGGGGGGGCCCGGAGGGAGGGGGGGGGTGTGGTGGCGCCGGCGCGGGGTGCTTGGGTTTAGGGTTTGAACCTTTGACAGTCAAAGGCTCGCGCACGGCTGTGTGCTCATCTTGCCAAGGCGTTCAGCAGCCGCAGCTTTACCTGGGCTGCGCGTGGCGTGTGGTCAGGTCGCTCGCTGAGCGCTCGGACGGCTTCGGGCTTTCACGTGGTGGTAGCGAGCCCTCAGCCGGACTTTAGGGTTTAGGGTCCCCTTAACACCAAAAAGGGTGCTTGGAGGTTCATGGTACTTACCAACCAATGATAACTGCACTTATCACCGTAGTTATAACCATATTAGGGCACTCAAGGAGCATATAAGTGGGTGAGAAGTACAGTTATGATTGGTTAATAAGTACCATGAACCTCCAAGTACCCTTTGTATTCCTAGGTTACCCCTGAACCCTAAACCCTAAACCGTAAACCCTAAACCCTAAACCCTAAACCCTAAACCCTAAACCCTAAACCCTAAACCCTAAACCCTAAACCCTAAACCCTAAACCCTAATTCTAAACCCTAAACCTGAGCCCTAAACCCCCCAAGAGCTTCGAGTTGCTGTTGCGGAGGAAGAAGATGGCAGCGAAAGCCAAGGAAGCAAAGAAGGCCCTTTGTCGGGTTGAGCGTCCACGAAACCAAGTGAAGGGTTTTGAGGCTTCGGGTTTAGGGTTCAGGGTTTAGGGTTTAGGGTTTAGGCTTAGGATTTAGGGGCTTATGACTTGGAACCCCACGTGGTCGCAAGGAGAGCAGCGACAGCGACGAGGAGGAAGACGAAGGAAGCAGCTCGTAGTGGCTCAAAAAAGGCAGGTGGTGGCCCCTCCGATTGATCCAAAATCTAGGAGGCCCCCGTAGTTCCCTTTTTCCTCTGTAAGCCTAACTCCACCACAATTGGTGCCCGTTTTTCTTAGGTTACTAACAAACCTTGCAATAGCTCCTTCTGAATTAAGGGTTCAGGGTCTAGGGTATAGGGCCTTGGGGGGGTCCCTACTGATAAGGAAGTGGCGAAGAGGGCGTGAGTTAGGGTTCAGGGGTGGTCGCTTGACGGGGTGGCGGCCTCAGTTCGATGGAGACTTGCTGCCCAAGCTTCCTGGAAAGTTGCTTGGCCGCCAAACTATGCAAGTTTGGGAAGAAGGGCCTACTGCATGGAATTCTGAAGCCTGAAACCTAAACTAGTTGCTGCTATGTCCGAAGTTCCAGACGCAACCCGCAACGTACTGGCTCAAGACTAGTGGCTGTGCGCGTTTGAAAGGTGCTGCCAACGGAGGCCTGATTCGGGTTCAGGGTTTGGGCTTTGGGGTTCAGGGTTCTCATGCTTTCGTCGAGTCGGAGTCGTCGTCGCCGCCGCAGCAGCAGCAGCAGGAGCCGCAGCAGCAGCAGCAGCAGCAGCAGCAGGAGGAGCAGGAGGAGCAGCAGGAGCAGCAGGAGCAGCAGGAGCAGCAGGAGCAGAAGGAGCAGCAGGAGCAGCAGGAGCAGCAGGAGCGGGAGTATACTACCTACTACTTCCGTACCGCCACGACTCCGTCGATGGCGGTAGTGAACATTTTTTGCCCTAAACCCTAAACCCTCAACCCTCAACCCTCAACCCTCAACCCTAAACCCTAAACCCTAAACCCTAAACCCTAACAAGAGCACCGAGGCCTCGATGGCGCGAGCTCCGCGACTCCTTTCGCTCCTCATCCTCGCTGCACTTGCAGCTCCGCAGCTTGGTCTAGATCGCCGGCATCATCTCCCCTGTTTATTTCATCAGCCTACTAAGCCTTAAGCCCGAAACCCCAAACCCTAAACCCTAAACCCTAAACCCTAAACCCTAAACCCTAAACCCTAAACCCTAAACCCTAGCCCTAAACCCTGAACCCAAACTCTCTCATCCCTAAGCTGCGAAAAGGGCTGGGCTATGCGGGTCAGGCAGTTGCTGGACTTCGTGTGCGGGCGCGCTGTGCCAAGTCGCGAACCTGCAGTCTCACGCAATGCAGAGGCAGAGCAGGGGTTGGGGGTTTGTCTGAAAATGCTTCTTACATTTTTTTGCACCCCGTTGTCCGTATATAATCCTTAGAGAGCCATAAACAGTTAGTTTTTTTTTTTTTTTTTATGAGGGTCCCCACAAACCTACCCGAGTTTAGGGTTCAAGGAGATGGTGGTGCCTTCTGGAGCGTCCCAGGGTTTGTAAACGTCTTTTGAGGGCGTTTAGGGGTTTAGGGCTTAGGGCTTTGGGCTTTGGGCTTTGGGCTTTGGGCTCAGGGCTTAGGGTTTAGGGTTTAGGGTGATTTGTTCTTCACACTTGAGCCGGCGAAGCATCTTCCCACGTCATGCGGAGGGCTGGGCACTGCACAGCTATAGTGATTCCAGGTGGGCCCACCGCCTCAGAAGCCGTTCTTCAAGCGCCGTTGGGGCCTTAAACACTTACCAGCTGAATTTCGGATTCAGGCGCTCAAGATCGTCCCCTTATGTACCCTATACAGTCCCTTAAAGGGTGAGGAAGGGGGCTATATGGTACCTGATCTCCATAGATAAGAACAAGTAAGCGAAGTCCCTCAGGTACAGTTTTGCCATGCCCTGTCAGTAGAGAAGGGGATTGGGCCTAGGGCGTAGTGCTCAACTCTAGACCCTAAACCAGACCAGTTTGGGGGAACTGTTTTGCTCCGTGCGCGGGGGGGGGGAGACTTCCTTTGAATTGGGGTTGTGGAACATGTTTTGGGCCGGGGGGGGGGGGGGTATGTGCAGGCCACCTTGGCCAACTCTGGCTGTCGGTATGGCAGATCCATCGACACCGTTGTCTGCCCCCATCTTGTACCTTAAACGCAAGCCCCGAACCCCAAGCCCAACACCCTAAAGCCCTTAAACCCCACACCCTAACCCTAAACCCTCAAACCTTGAAACCTTAAACCCCAAACCCTAAACCCTAAACCCTTATCAGGGTTTCCGACCATAGCGGTACCTCTTCTACGCCCCAAATCGAATCGAATCCCCCCTCAAAGGGACCCCTATCAAGGGTACCCTTATTTTCGGAAGCCCCTAAACCCTAAAACCTTAACACCCTAAGCCCGAAACCCTTAACCCTTAAACCTTAAACCCTTCAACCCTTCAACCCTTCAACCCTTAAACCCTTCAACCCTTCAACCCTTAAGCCCTTAAACACTTAAACCCTTAAACCCTGAAACCCTTAAACCCTTCAACCTTTCAACCCTTAAACCCTTAGACCCTTAAACCCTTAAACCCTTAAACCCTTAAACCCTTAAACCCTTAAACCCTTAAACCCTTAAACCCTTAAACCCTTAAACCCTTAAACCCTTAAACCCTTAAACCCTTAAACCCTTAAACCCTTAAACCCTTAAACCCTTAAACCCTTAAACCCTTAAACCCTTAAACCCTTAAACCCTTAAACCCAGACCCTACACCCTAAACCCTAGCCCGAAACCCTAGACCCTAAACCCTAAACCCTAGCCCTAAACCCTAGACCCTAAACCCTAGACCCTAAACCCATATGGCTGCCTTCAAAAGGACCTCCGGGAACCAACCCGCCAAAGCCGCCCAAGGCCGAACCGGGTCCTCTCTCTGAGCCTATGTTTGGGGTTGTAGGGTTTGGGGTTTAGGGTTTTGGGGTTGTAGGGTTTAGGGTTTGAGGGTTCGAGGGTTTGAGGGTTGTAGGGTTTAGGTTTTGGGGTTAGGGTTTAATGTTTAGTCGGGGCTTAGTATGGCGGAAAAAGGTTTTGGGGTGTAGGGTTTCGGGGTTCAGTGTTTTGGTTTTTGGGGTTTTGGGGCTTTTGGGTTTAGTGTTTTCGGGTTTGTGGGTTTTTGAGGTTTAGTATGAGGGGACAAGGCATTTAGGGGTTTATGGTTTCGGGATTTAGAGGTTTAGTATTCGGGAAAAAGGTTGTTAGGGGTTGAGGGTGTTTGGGTTTGAGGGTTGTTGGGGTTTGTGGGTTTTGGGGTTGAGGGTCTTAGGGTTTGAGGGTTCTAGGGTACTAGGGTTCTGAGGTTTGGGGGGTTTAGGGTTCAGTGTCCAGGGTTTAGGGTTTTATGGTTTTCGGATGTTAGACTTTTCAGGCTTAGGGTTTAGAATTTCACGTTCCGGATGCAGGGGTGCTCATGATAGTTGGTCGCTTCATGGCCTTATAGGCCCTACCCAAAAATATGACAGGCAAGTGTCGCGATAGGTTACCCTAAACCCTAAACCCTAAACCCTAAACCCTAAACCCTAAACCCTAAACCCTAAACCTGTTCCAGAGTCACTCGAACTCAAAGCCTATGAGAGGCATCGCAGTTCAGCATGCTCGACGTCATCTACATCCGGAAGTACTTGGCTGGAAGCCAGAAGGCAAGAGAAGGGAGGGGGGGGGTGATCTAGGGCTTTGGGATTTGGGTTCCTAAACCCCAAACCCTAAACCCTAAACCCTAAACCCTAAACCCTAAACCCTAAACCCTAAACCCTAAACCCTAAACAGGGCTTAGGGTTTACAGCTTAGCCCGGCTCGCTCTTTCCGGCACAGGAGCTCCAGAAGGCGTTGAACATGTTCTCCAACATGGACCCCTACATGAGAGGCTTGCTTCGGGTGCTCACGCTGCCTCCACCGAAGCCCTAAACCCGAAATCCCTAAACCCGAAATCCCTAAACCCTAAACCCTAAACCCTAAACCCTAAACCCTAAACCCTAAACCCTAAACCCTAAACCCTAAACCCTAAACCCTAAACCCTAAACCAAGCATGGCTGAAAAAGGCCGCATCCCGGCCTTCATTGAGAAGACGTCGCCGGCTCAGCACACGACTCCGATCATGGGTTAGGGTTTAGGGTCTGGGGTTTGAGTTTCAGGGTTTAGGGTTCAGAGTTTAGGGTTTAGGGTTCAGGGTTCAGGGTTCAGGGTTTAGGGTTTAGGGTTCAGGGTTTAGGGTTCAGGGTTTAGGGTGCTCCCTCTCCATCGAAGAATCGACAGTCGAAAGGAGCCTTTTGAACATGAAGATCCCTCTCTGAGAGCTTCTCACGCGCCCTGCGCGCACAGTGAGCCGAAGCACTGCCAGCGTACCTGCCAGGGGGCCCAATAGGGTTTAGGGTTTAGGGTTTAGGGCTTAGGGTTTAGGATGTTGGAGTCATGAAGACTCAGTTCAGAGGAACCCAGAAAATCAAGGCTTTGTGAAGCCAAAGATGTTGACACGGTTGACACAGCATTTGTCGTGGCATCTTGTGGGCAAAGTGTCTTCGGCAAGTGTAGACCGCAGCAAATTTTCGGTGGGAGGGCCAGCTGGCACCGCGAAGGTTGCACAGGCAGACAAGCCTTTAAGCAGCATCTCACGAGCTGATGATACGATTCACTGCCTGCCTTAGAACCTAGCATCTAGGCACATGACCCTAAACCCTAAACCCTAAACCCTAAACCCTAAACCCTAAACCCTAAACCCTAGTCCCCTCTTCAAAGTCCTCCCGGAAGCTTGTTCATCAAGGCCTGTCCGGAAGTCAAAAGGGAGCGCAGCGAAGTGGAGAGAGTTTTTCCGAGGATTCGTAGCTATCCGCTTTCCAAGCCCTTCCGAATTCTTTCCAGATTTTAGGCTTTTGCCTTGATCCGAAACTCATGCCTGCAGCGTTTCACTCCAGATGCTTCACGACAGCCAGGCATCATATGCCCCAAACCGCACTAACCTCCAAGACGCTGCCAGAAGTCCACATCCTGGCCAGACTCTGCAAGACTTCGCCACAGCTGTAGCACCCCGGTCTCTTCGCAGCTCTGCAACAGATCGTCATAAAGAATCCATCATGCCACCACAACCCCCACGCAGTTTGGGAGAGTTTTGCTGACCCGCCCACCATGCACGCCATTCTGCCCTGAGTGCTTGCTGCGCCCTCGAATGTCGAAGAGGGCTGCGCAGACACGATGGCCGACTCCCTCGTCGTGGCAGACGCGTCGCAGGCAGGGCGCGCTCTTGAGGGGCTACCCTTATAATCCCCTTAAAACCAGAAAGGGTGCCCAATTTTTATTCCTAGGTTACTCCCGGGTCTAGATAACTAGCAACTATTGTAGAGCATCCTCATGATGGTAGCCTAGTTGAGGTTGCTCAACACGAACCCCTCGTTGCCTTGAGCTCCACGGATCATAAGTTAGGAAACATGGCCCCTTTGTAGGGTACCCCCAAAAAAGGGGGCCCAAAAGTTTGGAATTGTGGCCCCTTGCTTTGGGGTGGTTTTCTTCAGCAAATAGTAACCCCTAACCCCTAACTCCTAACCCTAAACCCTAAACCCTAAGCCCTAAACCCAAAGTTAGGAAACCACTATCGCCAAGGCCCTGGTTCTGGCAGGTGCCGCGCGGTCTTCCGTGGCTGCAGGGGCCCCAAACCTGCCTTGCCATGTCTCTGCCCTTCCGCAGCTCCCAAGCCCAACACCCAGGCCCTAGTCCCTGAACCCCAAACCCTGAACCCCAAATCCTAAACCCTAAACCCTAAGCCCTAAACCCTAAACCCTAAACCCTAAACCCTAAACTCTAACCCTAAACCCTAAGCCCTAAACCCTAAACCCTAAACCCTAGCCCCTCGAGCTCAGGAGCACGCTCTGGTGCTCTATGACGACAGTCCGCCACATGGAGGGAGGAGTGGGGGCTCGGCGGGAAAGCCTCGCAGTCACCTGTGCCAGGCGAGAACAAGCGCAAAGCAAGAGGTGCCGGCGGCGTCCCAAAGAAGGGCAAGAGGTGCGGATCTTGCGAGTCGCATTTGTTCTAGGGTTTAGGGTTTAGGGGTTTATATAGGGTTTAGGGTGGCTTCTGTTCTGCTCTTGAGACATGTTTTTGAGGGTTTTGGGTTTAGGGTTTAGGGTTTAGGGTCACCTAAACCCACTTCCACTGAGGTTCGGCCTTCCAGAGGATAAGCCGTTCGTGGCTCAGCCCTGCGAACTGGAACCCATGTAACCGACTGGGGGTTAGGGTTTAGGGTTTAGGGTTCAGGGCTTAGGGTTTAGGGTTTAGGTTTAGGGGTTTAGGTCCTGGTGAGTTCAAAGCGCATGGTCAAGCGGCGCGAGGTTTCGGCCTCTACCCTATGTAGAGCTCCCCGTGGGGCTTTCCGAGGTTGAGGCCCATTGCCTGCTGGTTTAGGGTTAGGGTTTAGGGTTTAGGGTTTAGGGTTTAAGGTTTAGGGTTTAGGGTTTAGGGTTTAGGGTTTAGGGTTTAGGGTTTAGGGTTTAGGGTTTAGGGCTTCCTCCGCAAACTCCTGGTATCTCCACTTCTCAGAATGTGTGCAGGTCGACCAGTTCTTGCGGGAGCAAAGACTAGAGGACCTGAACCGGAAGCTTCAGGCGCCACCGTTTTCCTAAGGTTGGACCCTAAACCCTAAACCCTAAACCCTAAACCCTAAACCCTAAACCCTAAACCCTAAACCCTTGGTTGAAGGGATTTAAACGGATCCGAAGTATGGGCCCTCATTACGTGCAGTGTATAGAAGGGTTACATTTCCGGGGACCCAAATTAAGGGGCCCATACTTCGGATCCCCTAGTTTTGAGACTTCATCTAGGCCCTAAACCCTAAACCCTAGAAGACTCTTCCTCAGCTGAAAATCCCCCTGATTCCTTCTCTTTGCTGGCCTAGTTGCAGCAGCTGGAGGATGCCGTGGGCTCGGACCATCCATAGCCTGGGATGTTCTCCCTCAAACTAACAGTCCTTAGTAGGGCTTATAGTAAGAGGGACTAGAATCCCCTATGAAGGACTGTTAGTATAAGAGGGAACATCCCAATCCCATAGCCCGTCCTTAGTGCAGCATGAGGACACTTGGGGATCTTTCTGCCAGAGCACGAAATGAGGTGGAGCCGGACATCCGGCCTCCGTCACCCCCGCCGCTCTATGACCGCAGCCTGATCGCAACACTGGGCTCTGGAAGTAATCTAGCAGAAGCCGCATAAAGGTACTAGAATATTCATACCCTTGAGGTCGGTACTAGCATCCAGACCTCAACGTATGGCACGTGTGCAAGTCGCTTTGATTCAAGGATGTAACGCGACAGTCTTCCAGGTCAGGGAAATCGCCTCAACACCCGCGAAGTCCGCATCCGCAAGGCTCTGCTTTGGGAGGCTAATGCCCTTCAGGCATGCCCAAAAGCCCGAAACCTCCAACCCCCAACCCTAAACCTTGGTTCAACAACTAGCGATCAATGTGCTGGGAATTGGGGGTTTCCGAAATCTCGGGTACCCGATTGGAATTTGGGGAGGTATTCTGACCCCGAAACCCTAAACCCTAAACCCTAAACCGCGGCACGTAAACTCCCAATTCGGGAGGCCATGATGGCCGAGTTCAACCGACTCATCAGGCCGGCGCAGAGTCACTTCGCAGATTCGATGCTCGGATATGGGGGTTTAGGGTTTAGGGTTTAGGGTTTAGGGTTTAGGGTTTAGGGTTTAGGGTTTAGGGGTACCTTTATTGGGGTCCTCAGTATAAGGGAATCGTTCTATTTGGGGTCTAAAATGGGGGTCCCTTCTGTTCGTAAAGCCCCATATGTGCCTGTCAGTGGGTCAGAAGTTCTAAGCTCCTAAACCCTAAACTCCTAAGCCCTAAGCGCAAACCGGAGGTACATGCTCAAAAACCTGGAGAACTATGTTCCTCCAGATGGATGGAAGCCACAACGTCTGGTCAAGAAGTGCCAGGGCCGCATGAGATGTTGCAGGCATGTAATATAAAAATTCGTATATATATATATATATATATGTATATAACACAGTATGGTATTTAATACAAGATTCTATATGTATATATATGTATTTACCATATGTTTTAGTACGTACTCTCTTATATGAGGCTGCACTGCATTGTGTGACATCATATCTTATCATCGTATGTGTTCTATTGGTACAGTATGTACATGTACGTCGCAGTGCCTAAGAGTCTCACGTGGTCTCATCTGCCACTCAGGATCATCATCCCGTATGAGTGCCGCCCTCAGACCTGCAGGGGGGAAGGTTGTAACCCTAAACCCTAAATCCTAAACCCTAAACCCTAAATCCTAAACCCTAAACCCTAAATAGGACCTTAGGGTGTCGGGTGTAGGGTGCAACTTCATCGTTTCTCTCGGCTCGAAACGCGCAAAAGGCATCTGTCTTAGAGCTGCGAGGATGAGGGGCTCACGGCCCATTCGGTCGGTGGCCCGCTGGGGCGCCGCCGCGGGGGTGGCTGCCCTGTCGCGGCTGGATCGCCCCCCCCGTGCCATGGCGCAGCGACGCGAGGTCCGCTGCCAGAGCCCTCCGAGTCCCAGCCACTCTCCTCTTCGGAATGTCTTCCTATTTTTAATGCTTGTGTTGATGTGAGACCCCAAGAAGGGATCCAAAGGATGTTTCCTTCAGATGCCAGTTGCAGTTACGAAGGTCTCCTTGAGAATTCTGTGTTTTGGGACTTGTTGATAGCAACTCAAGGAAGATATTTAAGGATATGAACTTCTCTTGAGGCTCTAGGAGGGGAGTAGAAGTCCTAATCCCAAAACCTTAAGCCCAAAACCCTAAACGGCCCTAAACCCTAAACCCTAAACTTTCCATAAACCCTAAACCCTGAGGCTACTACGGCTCCTACAGCGGAGACCGCTTCGGTGGTGGGATCGGACGCAGGGTGGGAATCGATGAGAGGGAGGTGCTGCCGCTCCCAGGAACGGGTGTTGTGCCTTAGTAGCTGAACGAGTACACTTGGTTTAGGGTTTAGGGTTTAGGGTTTAGGGTTTAGGGTTTAGGGTTTAGGGCTTTTAGGCATGCTATAACCCACTATAGAACTGCAAAGTGCACACCCTTTTGGGGTTCATGAACTCAGCAACTGAGGTGCGCGTCGCGACCTTCACCGAGACTCACGAGAGGCTCAGGGAGTGGGCCACAGCCGAAAACTGGAAGCACGCCACGGAAATGCATAAGTCGGCGTACTTCACCAGAACTACGAATGAGATCCAAGAGAGCGTCTTGGAGCATGTTCGCCAACATTATTGCAGCACGCCATACGTCGCGGAGAAGCCCATTACAATGGCCTTGTTTCGCCTCACAGACACTGAGGAGTTCGAGAAGAATCGTTGCAATCGGAGGCTGCAGCAACTGCCCATGGTGGTTCACGGCGTTTTCGATGAGGCAGTCGAGCCATGCATTGTTGACTTTGCGAACAAACGCTTGGGCGGAGGCTGGCTGAGCTACGGGTGTGTTCAGGAAGAGATCCTGGGATCTTGTTAAGGAACTTGAGTCAGTTGCCGTTATGTGGGCTTATCACAAAGAGTATGCTTTCCTCATTGTGGCAAGTTAACTTAAGATCCTCAGCAAGAGAACCCAGGATTCTTTTCATTGAGCGGCCTGACTTTGGGGCAATGTGTGCGCGCAGCCTACTGGAGATGCCCGATCCTACAAAGGACCTCAGCCCCAAACCCGAAACCCCTAACCCCAAACCCCAAACCCTAAACCCCGAACCCTGAACCCCAAACCCTAAACCCCGAGCCCTAAACCCCAAACACTAAACCCCGAACCCCAAACCCCGAACCCTAAACTCCGAACCCTAAACCCCTAGCCCTAAACCCCTAATCCGAATCCCTAAACACTTAATTCCTGCATACATGAAGGAGCCTTTGGCCAGCCCCTTCTCCATGGAGCCCAACGAGGCCTCAGGGGGTTGATGTCGAGAATCGTTCTTAAAAGTTCTATGGGCTTAGGGTTGAGGGTTCAGGGTTTAGGGTTTAGGGTTTAGGGTGTTACAACCCTATGTTAACCCCATATCAAGCCCATATCCATATAGCCCTGCCTGGCCTGAATAGCCCTGTATGAACCCCATAGATCTAACAGAATAGAATCCCTTAGGTCCCCCCTAAACCCTAAACCCTAAACCCTAAACCCCAAACCCCAAAAAAGCACCCCAGGCCTGGGTCCTGCGCGGGGCTCCCCGCTTTGCGAAGATCGGCTGGTACGGCCGGGCGCCCAAGGATGCGCTGACGAAGGTGAGGCTCCTGGACCCCGACGCCAAGCTGCCCTCAGTGATCGGGTTTGGGGTTTAGGGGTTTAGGGTTTAGGGTTTGAGGTTTAGGGTTTAGGGTTTAGGGTTTAGGGTTTAGGGTTTAGGGTTTAGGGTTTAGGGTTTAGGGTTTAGGGTTTAGGGTTTAGGGACCCCAAACCCCCAAACCCATAAACCCCAAAACCCATAAACCCTGAACCCCACAACCCTGAAGGGCAGGCCTTTTGATAATGTCTGGGTTAGGGTTAAGGTGTCAGGGGTTTAGGATTTCATGATCTCTGGGTTAGGGTTTAGGGCTACTGGGCTACTGGGCAAACTAATGCCTAAACCCTAAACCCTAAACCCTAAACCCTAAACCCTAAACCCTAAACCCTAAACCCTAAACAAGCCAGGAAGAGGATCGGAGAACCGCCCCAACAGTCGTGGCCATCGATGCCATCAAGGCCAGCTTTGAAGTTTACAGCCCGGAGCACCTGAAGCTGATGCTCCGAAGCTGGGTTTACTAACGGGGTTATAAGGAAGGGCCCCTAGAAGGGACCCTCAATCATATTCCCCTATATAGCCCTGATATATATATATATATATATACATATATGTATGTACCCTATATAGCCCCTACATAGGGATTGAGGGTTTCGAGGGATTACGACTCCCCTGAATATACTCCTAATATGGCCCTTTTATTCCCTTAAAGGATCTTTAAAAAAGGGTTCCCCAAAGCCAAGGGTGCGACCTTATGGGTCTGGCACCCTAACCCTAAACCCTAAACCCTGAACCCCAAACCCTAAACCCTAAACCCTAAATGCTCCGAAGCTGGGTTTCGAGGGATACCCAAAAAGTATATACTTTTTTCCAGGGTCTACTCCAAAGTAGGGTTAAGACTCGTACCGCCGAGGTTGTACCCCTAAAGCTTCCCCCCGTTAACATACTGCTAATATGGCCCTTATATTCCCTTGTTGGATGGTGTTTACCCAAGTAGAGGATACCCTTAATATACCGCCCCCCCCTCCCCAAATAGTAGAACCCCCTCCCCTTTTTTCGGGAACCTGAAACTTGTGCTCCCAAGCTGGGTTCTTGAAGGGGTACACCGAGGGACCCCTAGAAGGGACCCTTCATCTTATTCCCCAATTTAACCCCTATGTCGGTTTAGGGGTGGGGGTCTGGGGGTTTTAGGGCTTTCGGGGAATCAAGGAACTTACCCTAACTTGCTCTAACATGGGCTTCCAGCCTGAACCATGCGCGGCTTCCTGGTTTTGTGGTAACTTAAGCAAAGTTCCCCAACGAGAACCCAGGAAAGGCTTATACCGGCTTCGTGGCTGTCAAGGAGGATAAGATGCTCGGGGAGCTCGAGGTGAGCACCGGCAGCTGGGGCTGCGGAGCATTTTTCAACAGCGAGCCGGTGATGTTCGCCATCCAAGCCCTGGCAGCGAATGCCGCCGGGGTTCGCTTGGTGTATCATACCTTGGGTGATGGACGACGCTTGGCACCTGCCTTTGAGCTGCTGGAAGATGCAATGGTTCGCAAGCTGACGGTCGCCGAGGCCCTGGAAGCCTTGGCTGAGAGGTGTGCAGCTGACCCTGCCTTCCGCACGAAGTACAGACCAAAGTCGTCTCTGTAGCGCGAGCTGAAGAAGCTCATAACTTATTCAATATGTGTGATTATATGTATAACCTATGCACCCACATGTACATGTATATGTATATGTATGTGCAGATATGTATACATGTCTTACAGGCGTATATGTATGTGTATATATATATATATACATATTGGATACTGAATTTAGAGAAGATACACTATAGCAGAATTGTAGACGTCAAGCGCACGGCCCTTGCAGATGGCAACATGGCCAGAAGTGCCATAGGCGAGGAGGCAGCCACGCACGCGACCGCGTCAAACTGCGTCGGAGGAGTGACAGACATGCTGATTTCCCAAGAGCCCCTGAAACGGGCTTCGGGTTCCACCCAGAACCCTAAACTTTGAGTACTGCCGGTGTATAGGTTATCATAAGTTAGCCCACGTACGGCTGCGCCAAGGAAGTACCCGAACGCTTCCTTCATGGGAACAGCACTCAGTGTGATTCACTCTGATGCTCCTTTGCATCGCGAGATCTCTGCATCCTGACAAGGTGTCATAATTGGCGCCCGCGGCGTGAACCACAAGCGCTTGCAGGCCAGAGCAAGCACGCCGCTAGACCCTATACCCTAAACCCTAAACCCTAAACCCTAAACCCTAAACCCTAAACCCTAACCCCGATTCATTTGTTGCAATTTGCGACCCTTGGCCTCACCTGCAGGAAGCCAGTGGTTGCCGAATCTTCATTCGGGGGAAGGAGCGTAGCGCAAGTTCCTCTCGTAGAGAATACCCGCAGCCTCGGCAAGCTGCTGCAGTCGACTGTGGACTCAACACCCTAAACCCTAAAAGCTAAACACTCTAAACCCTAAAATTCATGGAAAAGCCACACAGACTTCAGGACATCGGCGACAAATGGCAAACCGATGAGGAGCTGCACATGCCCCAACATGCCCGATGCCTGGGCGGGGTTTAGGGTTTAAGGTTTAGGGGGTTGAGGGTTTAGGTTTAGGCTTTGGGGGTTTAGGTGCATCCTTAAAAATCTGTGGTGGTCCTTTGTGGATGCGTGGATGGAGACGACCACCGAGCTGGTATGTGTGTTGAGTTGCAACATGACGCAACTCAGGTTCACATCGAGGGGGATACTGAAGAGCAGATTGAGACGGCCACAAATCTCATCATGCCGCCCAATCCCCAGCTGGACTCAGCCCCAAAGCCCCAAACCGAACCCCCAAGCCCAAAGCCCCAAAACCAAAACCCCAAACCGAACCCCCAAGCCCAAAGCCCCAAGCCCCAAACCCTAAAGCCCCAAACCCTAAACCCTAAATCCTAAACCCCAAGCCCCAAACCCTAAACCCCAAGCCCAGGCTTCTCAACCCAGAGAGCCCGGAGTTTGAGTACGCCAGGCCTGGGCACTCTCCACCAGAATTCATTGTGCGTCGGGTTCAGGGTTTGGGGTTTAGGGGCAACTAGCCCAGAGACCCTTCACCTCAAATGTGGGAGTGGCAGGGGAGGATGCACTGTCCGCTCCCGGACGCCTTCATTTTAGGAAACGGCAGTCCAGACTGGCTCTTGGGCTCAGCTTCCCCATTGTGGAAGGCAGCCAGTTTGAGTATAGTTTAGGGTTTACCAACGCGAGCCCACTATGTTGGGAAACCCTAAGGCCTAAACCACGCCGATTTCAGGAATTCCCCCCAAATTCTGAAAACCCCCCAAGCGACAGAACCCTAAACCCTAAACCTAAACCCAAGCCGTAGATCCTTAACCGGTCAAGAGGACCCACGGCATGCAGCAAGTGGCGATTGTCAACGGCTTCACGCTGAAGAAGTGTGGACCTCAGACAGCAGGGTTGAGGGTTTAGGGTTTAGGGGTTTAGGGGTTTAGGGGTTTAGGGTTTAGGGGTTTAGGGGTTTAGGGGTTTAGGGGTTTAGGGGTTCAGGGGTTTAGGGGTTTAGGGGTTTAGGGGTTTAGGGATTTCGGGGTTTAGGGGTTTAGGGGTTTAGGGGTTTAGGGGTTTAGGGATTTAGGGGTTTAGGGGTTTAGGGGTTTAGGGTTCAGGGTTTAGGGTTTAGGGTCTATGCAGCTTGTCCTTGAGCTTTCCAGAAAGGGCCACCTTGACCTGTGCAGGACGGAGCAGCGATGTGGGGTGTGTGGAGCCCTTGGGCATCTAGGCTACGAGCTCAGGGAAGTGCCTCCAAGCAAACGCGAGGTTGCACTTACTGTTGGTTAAACCCTAAACCCTAAACCCTAAACCCTAAACCCCAAACCCGGGGGAATGGGGTACCCTAGAAAATCCCTTGAAGCGTATATATAGGAATCATTCCCTGCTAGCCAACAGTGAGTACAGCAAGCTCCAGATGTGACAGTTCGCCGTAAACTGAAGCCACATGCAAGATTCCTATGAGTACTGCCAGAGACGTGCTTCTCCAATGTCTGTGTAGTGATACCTAGTCCTAATTCTAAAACTGGATACGAGTTCACGCCAGAACCCTGCATTCTTCTTTGGCCGCCACGTGCAGGTTTTGATTGCCCAGAGACGGAGGCCTTCAGCTACAAGTGCGGTGCCCAGACTCTCTGTACCCCTTGATTGCAGCTTCTAAACACTGGGACCTTGGGGACAAGGAATAGCGGATTGAAAGACACCCCAAAAAGAGGTCCCCAACGTTGTTTTCAGTTTCAACCTTCTGTTCAGTCAGGATGGCTGATGTCAAGTGCACCATCTGCGGCGATCGGGGGCACGTGGCCTCTGACTGCAAACAAGCGGCCGAGCAGCATAAGAAGGACCGCAATTTGGCACTGAGAGGAAGGATCAGACTGGGGATCTGTAACCCTAAACCCTAAACCCTAAACCCTAAACCCTAAACCCTAAACCCTAAACCCTAAACCCTAAACCCTAAACCCTAAACCCTAAACCCTAAACCTGTCTGTTGTAGGGGGATCTTCGCAAGACACGGCATGGACGGAAGCTGATCGCAGCTTCGGCTCAAGGAACCATGGGCTGCCAGGGGCCCTTCCCCGCAAAGGTCTCTTCTGAGATGAGGCGAGAGAGCACGAAACTCTGTGTTTAAGGGGTTTGGGTTTAGGGTTTAGGGTTTAGGGTTTAGGGTTTAGGGTTTAGGGTTTAGGGTTTAGGGTTGGTGCTTTACTGTAACTTTAGACAATAAGAGTAGCAACAAAAAAAGTATTAGCAATAATCTTTGTAGTGCTTTACTGTAACTTTAGATCCTTAGGCTTTTTTTGGGGTCTATTGGGATTCTTAAGAAGGCAGCTAAAACTTAGGTTTCTAGCTACCCTGCTAAGTGCAGCCAAGGAAAATCATCGTCGTGCGCCATGGGGAGAGGCTGGATGAAGCGGACCGGGAGGCATGGAGGAATCTGCGGACACACGACACGCAATATGACCCTCCCTTGACTGCCACAGGCACGGGGCCAAGAAAGAGACGTGGTAGGCATCATTCCATATGTGCATGTGAGCCCCAAACCCTAGTCCGAAGTGTAGGCCCTCTGAACACACGAAGCGGAAGGCTGGAAGCAGTCGAGCGGCGCCGGCAAGCAGATCTTGCAGGACTTGCAGCGCACGTCCACGCCAGTGGCTTGCATCTACAGCAGCCCGACGTCGCGAACCATGGCCACGGCGGCGGCCATCGCGAAGGAGCTCAAGGCACCGGGGGTCACCCCGGCATATGGCCTCAACTGCTGCGCCGCGGCGAAGATGGTCGGGGTGGCCTCACGCTACTTCGGGCGCCCTGCGGACGAAGCCACCATGAGAGGGGTTCCGGTGTCCTGCTGGCCACCCGTGGGTGATGTGGAAGAGGTCCACAAGAGAAACCGGAGCTCTCACGGATTTGTGGACACCGTGCAGGAACTGGCAAGCGCGCACGCTTGCGGCGAGGCCGTCGTAATGGTCACCCACAGGGAAGGCATCTGGGAGGTTTCCAGGTAGGCCCTTTGGGATATTTTGTATGTTCCCTTATTGGGCTGAAGAGGCCAAATAGGAGGATTCCTCGATAATAAGGACCCAATATGGAACCCCCTCTAATTTCGGAAATCCCCATTTAGGAAAACCCTAAACCCTCAACCCTCAACCCTCAACCCCAAACCCTAAACCCCAAACCCTAAACCCTAAACCCTAAACCCTAAACCCTAAACCCGGGGCCATCCGAGGTCTTGAAGCACCTCCACATGTCACCAACGGGCAAGTACTGCAGCACGCACTACTTGCAGTACGACCACGACGCGAAGAAGATCCAGCTTTGGAACCCCGAGGACCCTGAAGGGTTTAGGGTTTAGGGTTTAGGGTTTAGGGTTTAGGGTTTAGGGTTTAGGGTTTAGGGTTTAGGGTTTAGGGGGAAAGGCTTTGAACCTTTCAGGGTGCAGATTGGTTCTCCCATGAGGATCACGTCGCGGAGTCGCCGACCGGCTTGGAGACGGCTGTGGCGACGTTGCGGACAGTTTGGGGGGGGGAAAAATTGCCAGGGCGACGACTTTATAAGTCATGCCCGAAAGATAGGGACCTGATAGCACCTCTGGGAGAACGCGCGGTAGGAAGTTACATCTGACTGACAGGATTGGGTCAGATGAGTCTCCCACCACGCCGGCGAAGGGGAAGGGGCGTGTTCTCCTGGAGCTGCCAGGCTGCGTGGGCCCTGGCCCAACAGTCGCTGCTATCCGCTTGCAGATCGTCAAAAATCTTGTAACCTCGCATGGCTGATGCCCAGGCAGTGAGCGTCTATGGCAGACCCCGGGCGTTGCAGGGCTTTGGGTCGAGGGCGCAGCGACGGTGGCGACGGGGGAGGCGCCGGGAAGATTCAGCGGTAGCAAAGGGGAACAAGGGGGTTCATGGTTCATGGTTCATGATCATATAAAAGTGATATGGCAAAGGAGGCATAAGAGCGTGAGGCCTTTGGAAGGGCTGCCCCATGCAGGTGGTTGAGCTGCTGAGCAGCCCACAGGCCAGCGAAGGCTGGCGAAAGCAAAGTCCATGGACCCCTTGCCCCGTTCACAGTTCTTGAAAGCGCTTTGCCATTCAGGAGAAGCTGGGGATTTCGTCTTCATTCGGAAAGACAACGGCATTGAAGGTTGGACCCCTGCAAAGCACCTGAAGCCGATCTTGACGTTCGATTGACTAAACAGCACATGGCGTGAAGTGCTCCGTCTGAGATGGTGCCTTCAGCGGCAGAATTCGACCCGCAGCACGTTTCCGTGCTGGTGGAACGTATGTTCTCCACTGGAGCTCTTTCCTCATGCGCCGTGCACGCTGCAGCGCGAAGCAGGCAGCGCGAAGCAGAAGCATGTGATTCGCCATGTACAGTCGGGCGACGTGAGGAAAACGTGCATGGCTTCGATGGATAGGGGCACATTCTTTATGATCAGCCCTGTGAGTGTTCTGCCGTAAACCCCAAACCCTAAACCCTAATTAAACCCTAAACCCTAAACCCTAAAACCCTAAAACCCTAAAACCCTAAAACCCTAAAACCCTAAAACCCTAAAACCCTAAAACCCTAAAACCCTAAACCCTACTCCCCACACCTTGCCCCATGAGAAGCCCGCAGGAGAACGTGGATTGGAAGGAGGAAGCAGAGAAGAAGCGGGAACTCGATGCGGAGTACGTCCGCCTCTTAAGGGGTTTAGGGTTTAGGGTTTAGGGTTTAGGGTTTAGGATTAGGTCCTGCCAAGTGTATAGGCGGTTCAGGGCTAGGGGTTCACGTTACAACTGTATATGCTCAGTTCTCAAAAAGGTGGGTCCCTTTTTGGGGTACTGGTCCCAAGTTATTAGGGGCTTTTGACAGTACCCCCAAAGGGGACAATAAATTGCAGAAGTGACCATATGAGGCAGGTTTTTTGCTATGGTTTTTGGCGAGTGTATATAGGGTTCCTTCTGGGTGGGTGCATGCACGGGGTGTCCTTTAGGAAAACTTCAAGCAAACAGATATAGCCCAGTCAAAATCCCGGACGCCGCCATGAACCTCCAAGTGTTCCCTACCCTCCCTGAACCCTCGACCCTAAACCCTAAACCCTAGCCCTAAACCCTAAACCCCAAACCCTCAGGAGAGGATGATGAGCGAGCTCGGGCTCTCCACAAGCACGACCAAGAAGCCTCCAGCACCTCCAGGCACTCCCCAGAGATCCGAAAGCCAAGACCGCTCTTTCAGACCTCCGGTTCACTGAAGAACTCCCTAACCTTCACGTTAGGCACCAAGCCCTAAACCTGAAGCC